GGCAGAGGTGGGTGCTGTTTGGTGGTCCCATCCACAGAGCCGGGACTGACGGACGGCTCCATTTCATCTCTTCAGCTCCGCAAGCATGAGATTCCTCCCTGGTTTCCCGGCAGACCTTTGAGGTTCTGATGGGGCTGCCTTCCAGCCTTTAGGGACAATGCTTGGAAGTGGGCGGGCGAAGAAGAAGGTGGCGCCTAGGACTCCACTGAGCCCTTCGTAGGCCACAGGAGGGGCCAGCCCAGGAACCTCGGTGACATCGTTTGGCTAATTTTTGGTTTTGAAACTGGCGCTGATAGGTAAATAACTATGGCCAAGTACTTCACAGAGTGGAAACTTCTGGTTGTAAGATGTGGAGTTATATTAAGAAGTAATGCAGAGAATGGCAAGCTTTGCTATCAAATTTTTTGTTTTATAATACAAAATACTAGGAATCGGCATGGTTATGAATCTCTTTCGTGTTTCATGCTCAAAAGAGAAAAAAGAGCTTTATGAAGAGTTAAACCACTTTTTCACTACAAGACTTAAAATTGTGTTTGTTTTTTGAACTCAATAGATGAGGTACTTCTGCATATCCATCACCAATGTTATGTCAGTAACAGGATTGCAGGCAGGACCACTTAGGATGCAACTGAAGAAGCAGCTTTTGCTGCTGGTTTCTAATTGCTGGTGATGGTATGCAGGAAAGAGGGAAATCAGAAGTTTCTCAGGCTGCCAACTAGAAAAATAACAGGATTTCTGAGCAACTTCTGACCCACTAATAACGGTGAGATTAATTTCTTCCAAGCTGGAATCATAAACCCAAATGTGTGCCACCAAAATGGATCTACAGTACAATCAGAAATTACAAATACAAGCCAAGAAGATGTACAAACTGTGTTTAATCAGACATTGTCACACTGAGAACACTAGTTGCAAAGGGTAGTCTAGAACTGTGGTGCATTGACCCTGGCTGGACGCCAGATGCCCTCCAAAGCTGCTCCATCACTCTCCTCCTCAACTGGACAGGGCAGAGAAAATAGAACAAAAGGCTCGTGAGAACTAAGCCTTGTAAAGTCATTTTGTTATTAGAGATTTCTAGGTGAAAGCCAGCTTTGTTCTGTCTACATTATGATTGGTTCTATACTGCATTTTTGCCTCATGGTTGCAAAAGATAAGCCTAGTGACAAAGCAGCAGTCCCCTAACCTATGAAATTTGGGAAGCTTTAGGTTAAAAAAAAACAACAAACAAATATTTTGTGGTTTTGAAGAGAACTTTGTATTTTCACCAAGATTTAAAATGGGCAGAGTGTGTATTTCCCTGGAGAAGTGGCACCTTAGTGACCCGGCCTGCCACGTCAGCACTGGGACTCTCACAGGCCAAGTAGTTCGGCTTGGTCCTGTGGGCAGCATGTGTCAGAGTCCTTCAAGAGGGGCAGAGCGAACCAGGCTTTCTATTTCCAGACTGCATTTCACTCCTGGACGTTACTCAGATGGCTGAGTGAAGAGGTCAGGTGCTCTCTGGGAAGTAGGAGGAACACAAACCCTTCCACCTTTTGTGCAAGGCGAATTTGAACTCAGGTAAACTGCTTTAATCTTATTTCAGTACCTAGCACTATAGACTTGGTTTGCTGAGGCATCAAACGAGAGGTAGTTCTTTATGTGTGTGCAAATGTGATGATAACAAAAATTCTCCAATAATTTTATAGACTGCTTAGCCACAGAAGATGTTCAGTGCTGCATTGTTAAACCTGCTCTTGTCCTTAACAATAGGAACTATCTGTTAGCACACAAGCAAACAGTATTATATTCTACTTGCTTGGAAGAGTTCTTTTTACCTCTGTTTACTGTTTCAGGAAGCTGATGCTGGCTGCAAATCGAAGTATTACTGTGACAATTTTATCCTGTGGATAACTTAAATTTCATAGAGCAGTATGACAAGTGAATGGGGCCCTTAAGTCATGGCTACTCCTAACCCATAAGGACTGGGTTTGGGGCAGCAACCTACGCATGTGATGCTACTGCCAGTGTCCTAAATAAATTAGTTTCCTGTAGGGTCGGGGTGCCTTGTGGAATGTTTCAGCTTTGTGATTCTTCTTTGTTTGTGAATATTGAAGTGATTTCATGATTTTAAAAAGAAGTAACTCCACAGATCCTTCTGATTTGTTCGTATGTAAGCCAGAATACCAGTGACCAAGGAGCCTGTGAAAGCAAACACTGAACTTAGAGGCTTAAAACAGATGTGACCTAATAAATAAACCCATTAGATTAAACTGTCTTCTCTTAAAAATCATATTCTTAACCTTAATCTCATATTTTGTCTTTCATGCAAAAATTGTAGTGTTGCATATGGTTAGGGCTACCCAGTCCCTCAAAAGACACCTAGAACTCTTTATTTCAGCTTGCCAACCCATAAGTGACCTGAAAGGTTTCATACTTGGGTACTACTTCAGGCTGGCTGCTTTTTAACGTTTTTAAAGGTTAGAGCCAGCTGGCAGAGTCTAGACACAGTCATGCTGTTAAATTCTTACAGACTCATCTAAACTTGCTATTGGGAATTGTCCCTTGCCCAAAGCCAAGCGCCAGTTCCCAGGCTCCAGCTGCTGCTTGGCTTAATTGTACAGATATAGCTTTAACAGCCCAGCAGCATGCAGCACAAAGCTGCCAGCCTGCAACAGGGGGTAAAAGCGAAACGCCAGGGTGGAAGAGTAATAACGCAGTTTTGGGATCAGGAGAGAAGGAGGAATGAAAGTACAATGAATTCAAAGGGTGTCCAGGGCTGGGAGTAAGAAGGAACAACAGAGAGTTTGGGGAAGGGAGAAAGGAGGGAGCCTGAAATTGTAAAAAACAAAGCAAGGAAAATCACTAGTAATTAAGGAGGGCAGCATGTTCCAGCATGGGGGAGGTGACGCTGCATGCGGTTGTGTCATTATGCACCACATTCAGTGATGCTCACTGCAATTAAATAAATCAAGAGACCCACACAGTTTTGAGAAAGAACTGGCACAGAAAGAACTCACATTTTAATGCCAAATAGTTCAACTGTCTAGTGAAGGGAGTTAAAAGGCACTTACCATTCGCATCCAGGTTGGTATAAAGCCTTTGTATACAGACATAAACCCTTCACCCTGTACAGTTTGAATTAAGCAGTCCATGGAAGACTTATACAGAAGACCTCTGGCAATGTGCAAGGAGAACAAATAGTGTTAGGGTTACAAATACACAATTTTAAAAGAACTCATCTCTCCTGAAAAATAATTTGTATACGCTATTTTTTTTCCAAGCAAGAGCACTTTTGTAGGCTCACTGGGGGCTAATCAGAACTGAAATCCACTGGAGTAACTGGGTATGCTCAGGTGGCCATCACAATAACACACCAACCCCTCCCCCCCAAAAATTTACTAAATCAGTAAAATTACCATCAAAAAGCTGAAGAGCAAATTAGAAACTTATCACTTCACTCCCAGTGAAATTGGTGAAACTCAGGTTTCAGTTTTCTACTGAAAAGTCATCTCCAAACTGTCCATACCTTCCCTGCTTATCTCTTGGCTGGTTCATTACCCGGGTTTTCACCACATCAGCGGGAGTTCCCAGGACAGCGGCTACCAGGCCAGAGCAGCAGCTGTCAACAGCAACAGATGCTTTAAGAAGAAACTAAGATTTATCACAACGATTTAAGCATCACAATTCCAGTTCTAATAATAAAGATACATTAAAACAGTTATCATCAAATCATGATTAATACCTCCTAACATAAACTTGATTTGGGAGAAGGCTTGCTAGTATTGCTCTTGCAAAGATGTCCTCACCTCTGTATGCAGTTCTGAGGCAGGGATAAAGGACCCACAAAAGACAATTTCTGATATTGTTTATAGAAAGCAGATTTCTTCATATTTTAAGAGACTAAAAGAGGTTGTTCTGCAGGGGTTCTATCACTCATCTTTACTGTTTGCTAAAGTTGAAACTAGAGTAAATAAAATAGTACCAATTCTAGAAAAGTGAAAATTCCTGTGCTCTCACAGATGGAAGCAGAGGTGTTTATGTCCACCAGCAAAGCACTTCTAGTGAGGGCAGTTTTGTAGCAATGGTTGCATTTCTCTGGTGTCTTCTGTAAAGTGGTGTCCTCTCAGGCAAAAAGAAACCCCAAAATTATAAAGGTGCATTTCATCAGCAGTATCATAACCAAAGAATAGGGGCTTCTTGGCACAGAGAGGAGGATCAAGACAGCAAGGCTGGAAATGCTCCACAGTGGGGGAAAGCGGTAATTGAGGAACAGGCACCTGGCAACACTGTGAGTCACACTATTGTCCACAAGTGGCGTGTTCAGAAGCAAGAAGTGTTTCACTGAGTCATAAGTGGTCAGATCTGTAAAGAGGATAATGAGAAAAAACAGCACTGTCAGAAGTAAATGGTGTCTGTGGTGTTCACCACATAGGATGGAAGCCTGTCACGACCTATATTTCCAGTGCTGTTCCTCCCATTGGCATGGCTAGCACTCTGCCTCCAGTTTCTGATGATGGTTGTGGCATCTAAGTCCTCTCTTCAGCTATGTAAATGCATGCTCCTTTCTATTATCATCTTCTTGGATTTACCCTACAAATGATAAAACGATCCCAAATGGAAAATTCTGCAAAATAGGACTGTACATTAATGTTGTGTGTGGAGAGACATGCCTTAGTTAACAGTCATCCTGCAGCCTCATGTAGCAGCTCCTGCTCAGACATTACCCATCCATTCATTCCTTTACGGCTGCTTAGAAATTGTAAGTTCACAGCACCCCTCATTTTCTACCCTCAAAGACATTTTTTGGACATGCTGCTAATGTAATCCTGTGTTGAACGACCTAGAAATTGGTAGCCATCATGTCAAGGGAAATTAAACGTCCAAAAGAAAAAATTGCCAGGGCAATGCTATAGCTTAAACCACGACAATGTGCCAAGCACCAAGCAAGTGTTTATGGTGGAAACCCACAGCCAGTGTCTTTCCCAAAGGCATCTCCCTCCTTACTTTACAAACAGGAAGGAGAACAAAGACCATCCAACATATCCTAGCAGTTTTGGAGAGACACAGGAAAGATCTATCTAAACATGGAAAGGGTGAGTGCTGCTTGGATCAGCCAAGCACTTGGGCAGTCACTCTGCAGCTCCACCACAGCTTGTTCACCTGGATAGCGACACACGGACCATTCCCTAGCTCAGCCTTGGACCTGTGTCATCACCACAGACCTGCTGGAGATCACTGAGCTTCCTGGCTTTGCCTCAGACCTGCCTTATCTCTTTCCTGAGGATCTGGATCTTGGGGAGACCCGGCTGCCCGTGCAGGGTCTGCCCTGCTCACCTTGATTGGGCAGCAGGGGGCTGGGTTGTAGCTGGCAAGGTCCCTTCTCTTGTGGCTGTAGGACCCCTCGGCTCCCAGCTCACCATCCCTTAGGCTCAGGCACAGGCTTATTTTAAGTGATTTGATCTCCACAGGACTGAAACAGAGGTGCACAAGGCAGAAGTCACCTGCAGTGCACTCCAGACAGGTTCCCAGTGTAGATAATCAAGAGTCTAAGAGCAGGGGAGCAGCTGAACTTCTCTTTCTTAAAGCTTAGATGCGGCCTTAAGTATGGCAGACCAAGTAACTACATTTACCTCCCATGTTCACCAGAGCAGCTCTCTGGACATTTGGCACCCATCCAGCCCAAAGCCCCCGTACTCCTCCTTCGGACAGGATCTTCATAAACGCATGGTGCACTCCTCGAAACCTGAAATCGATATGTAACTAGTAGGTAGAGAGCCCAGCTATGGAGATCTTTGAATCCACCACTCTCCCCACTGGCCAGAGCCATTGCGTGCCTCCCAGCCATGCCAGTGTCCTTCCCCTGAGAAGGCACGGAACAGCTGGGGAAAGGAGGTGGCAGAAAACAGGGAGAACCACAGCGTGGGCCAAAGAGTAATCATTAACAGGAAGAAAACACCAATTTCGAGGGGAACTGACCGTAACGGCTTTCCTTCCAACTTCCTTCTTCCCTCCATCTGCATCTGCACCTTCACCAGATCAGCTGGGCTGGCAAAAAACTGTCCGATGGCACCCGCACACATGCCTCCAACTACAGCTTTCCTGCCAAACAGGAAAAAATGTGCTCCAGGATACACTGAAAATGGCAGTGCTCGAGCTGAGGAGTTCAGCAGCACAGCCTAGGTGGAACAAGTGAAAATGGCTGTTCCCTGGCAGACAGCATTTAGGGCTGCAAGACTTCTCAGTAAGGAGAGTCCCCAACCAGGCAAAAGTATAAATTTGCAACATTACCAGAAAGGAAAGCTCCCATCCTCAGGCCTGCCAAGCACCGAGTCACGGAGATGTTCGTATGCGACCATCCGAACACCAGAGTACACTGCGGGAAACAAAAGCAGGAAACAGTTCTTGGGGCTGCCGTTTCTGGAGGTCATCCTGTGACAGAGAGATCAAGAGATAGGTTTTAAAACACTCCGGAGCTTGCCTGTGTCAGCTGGTCACTGCTCTCACATTCATGATCACAGTGTGGAAGGTGAGGAGGCTACCTGGTAGCAATGCCAGACCAGAACTTTTAGCATCCAAAAATGTCTCTGGCTGAGCCATACATCTACCAGGAGGCAGCGTGGCTTATGCCTACAGGCTAAAGAGTTGTGACCACACTGGTTCCCTCTCAGTTGGTGCCAAGCACAAAACCTCACACAAGTGCTTTTGAGGTTTGTTGCTGTTAACCGTATTTGCCCCATCCCTGGCAGTGCTCAAAGCCAGGTTGGACAGGAAGTGTCCCTGCCCATGGCAGGGAGATTGGAACTGGTCCCTTCCAACCCAAACCATTCTGTGATTCTATGATATTTCCAAATAAAACACAGAAAGCTGTTACCTGTGGCCAAACCACTAATGCATTCCTTCTAGTGCTTGCATTCTTCTCTAGCACTTGCAGCCTTATCTGTTTTTCCTAGCCCATCTCCACTTCCCCCAAATAAAACAGATTTATTTTTTCTGAGGACTCCGAGTGCCTGCTTGTGCTGAACACCTTCCTGCAAAGATGATTATATTTTGTTTTCCCAGAAGCCAAGAGAAGGCTGTGAGGGAATGGGCATAAGAGGGAAGAGACGATATTGAGCCAGCATCCCATATATTGGAATTGGAAAGTGGGATAGCAGGGTAGGCTGAAGGAGCCCTCACAGACATATGTAAGGCACAAGAAGATATGGCAAGCTGTTCTGGTTTGACCTCAGCAGGCAACTAAGTACCACACAGCTTTCACTCACTCCCGTCCACAACATGAGATGAGAAGGAGAATCAGAAAAAGGTAAAACCTAATAATTAACATTTAATTACTAAACTGTTCTTATCTCAACCTAGCCAATGTGTGTGAACTAATTATTAAAACAAGTTTAATAATTAAAATAAGGTATAATGCTAATAATAAAATAGTCATAGTAATAAAAAGAGAAATAACAAAAAGGCAGAAATTAAAGAGAATCCCCTCCCAGCAAACAGCAGTAATGCACAGTACAATTGCTCACCACACATAGACCAATACCCAGCCCAACCCGAGCAGCGATCTGGGCCTTCTGGGTGACTCCCCCCAGTTTATATACTGGGCATGACGTGCTGTGGTATGGAATACCCCTTTGGACAGTTTGGGTCAGGTGTCCTGCCTCTGCTTCCTCCGGGCTTCTTGTTCCCCTCCTCACTGGCAGAGCATGAGACTGAAAAGTCCTTGATCAGGGTAAGATCAGGGTAAGTGCTACTGACCAACAACTGAAACATGGTGTGTTACCAGCACTGTTCTCAGACTAAAGCCAAAACACAGCACCAAACCAGCTACTAGGAAGAAAATTAACTCTATCCTAGCTGAAACCAGGACACAAGCTCACACTCCGAAAGGTTGTTGGCCACAGAAGGCAGGACCCAAACTCGTCCTGTCATGAGCAGACAGTCACCTATGTGTCGGTAGATGGCTGGCGTGGCTCCTTGCCAGAGCTTTATTAAGCCCTCCTCTTGCACGATGCCAGCCGCAGTGCACAGCATGCCACGGTAAGGGACTGCCTGCCCAGCGCCAGCTCCGCTGCCACGAACAGCAGCTTCCCCTTGGACCTGCAGTCGAGTTTTCGTGAGGTCCAGGGGAAACGTCACTGAGGAGAAAAACCAGAGAAGAAAACATGAATACGAGTGCAGCTGTGGGGAGACCTACCACAGTGGTAACATCTGCACCACGTCCCCCCGCCAGGCCGCCAAGGGGGCTGTGCAAGCACCAGCAGGCAGCGGGGACTGTACCCAATGGGGGTGGAGAACGGAAGATTCATGTCCAGACCTTCTGCGGGTGGCTCTGGGCACGAGTAGCCAAAATTCCCATCAAACACCAACTCTTTATCCTCAGTTTCTTTCTGCAGGTTTGTTCTGCAATACGCATACTCGGGATTGAAACCCCTGTGCCAGTTACTCCTCATGAGTAAAGATCAATCAAATCTCACGGAGCGTGTGACCTCTCCAGTTCTACCCAGCATAGTGGCAGCACATGTAACAGTCAGGAACAACCCCACAGTGACCATCGTAATACAGGCACACAGGTGAGCATCTGTTCTACGAACCACCCTTAACCATGCTGCTTTTCTGATCCAGACACAAAATCATGATTACCTTATTAATTCTCTCACTGAAATAGCTGGTGGCCAGGGAAGGTGCTCCCACTTGATCACAGCTTCCTAAGGCTGCTTCTCAAACAGTGCGGGTATTTATTTGCTACCCCTAATTTCAATTCCAGGCAAGGAGTGTCTCACTGGGTCCTGTCTCACAGGACCTTCCCAGCCTGTCTCAGGCAGCAAGGGACTGGGAGTAGGGCTTGTCTTTGGCTCGATACCTCTGTGACACACTCTGCTACAGCATCCTTCCAGAGCAGGACTTGGAGGTGCTGGGGGAAGGCAGAAACACCCAAAGCCCCAAGTGATTTCCACTCTATTTGTGCATTAAATTTGGTATTTATATTTAAAGATTGGCAAAGATTGAGAAGTTACAAGCCATTAGAGCAATACAACAGATTTGCCTGCAAGAGCTTGGAGAAATTATACAGAATATGCTCTTGGAGAAATTATACAGAATATGCTTTTGGAGAAATTATACAGAATATGCTCTTGGAGAAATTATGTAGAATATGCTGAGAAATACTCCAAGAAAGTTACTGATCACTATGCACCCTGGCTATGCAGATGCCAGGGTGCTTCCTTCCTTCATTTCAGCAAGGAAATGGACTATGCATTTTTACAGACATCTCCACTGTAACCAAAAATCTAAGATTTAATTTTCATTTGATTAAGCTGCATTTACTATGAAAATCAAATCCTTGAAGAAGTCAGCCCCCTTGCTGCTAACTTAGGCAGCAGATCTTCGTGTGTCTATAGCCATCTTCCAGAAACCCAGCAAGTGCAGTGCATAAACCAGTGGCAGATGCTCTGTGTCAATGATTGCAGACCTTCAGTTTGTGGCAAAGATTTTGACCTGAAAAACTCCCTCCAGCCACGGTCAGGTGGCACAAAACACTTGAAAGGCTTAAATTACTGGAAAGACACGACAAGCACAGCAGAACAAACAGATTTGCTGGAGTGGAAAGCTGGAGCGAATGCCAAGGAATGAGGTATTTCGGGACTCACGTTCCCCCTGCCCCCCACAGGTAAATGTGGACCCCCTTCCCTCTCAGAAAATCAGGGTGAGCTGTACCTAGTTCTGCCACAGCGGCTGCACACGCCGACAGAGCGAATTTGCTGGCTCGGGGCCATCTCCCTGGAAGAGGTAAGCTCTTCTCTTCTTCTGCAGGTGACATCTAGTGTCCAGCATGAAACAAAGCTAACCAGCCACCCTGCGGGGGTCTGCAGCAAAAGCAGACCCTAGCTCAGCTCTGTTCGGGGCCGTTTAAGAGACTATTTACTGAAGGTCATGTTCCTCCAGCGCCAGCAGCAGGAACTGCAGCAGCACAAGTGCCTCCTGCAGAGCTGCAGGATCCTGGTGCAGTGACAGGGGACTCCTGTGCAACAGCCTCCTGGGAAATGTAGTCTGTCACCAGCGCTGCTCTCTGCCGGGACACGGGCGGTGCAGGTACCGTCACACACACACTATTGCCCAGTATGTATGTATCTATAAAATCATGAACGAAACCTCAAGAGAACATGTTTGGGGTTTGTTTGCTTTGTATGATGCTGGCTTTGTCAGCAGTGCCTTGGGAGCCCCAAACTGCATCCGCATGGTTAACAGCTGCACAGGCATCTGACATAGATGAACTGATCCACATCTGGTGTAACAAAAGCTGCATTAGCAACAGCTACATGTCAGTGTGGAGTGCTGGAGTGCTTGGAGCAATTCCTGTCTCCTGGGGATTAGGCACAGAGGTGTGCGGTTTGAGCAAAGGGCACGCAAACCTGGGAAGGCAGAAGCAGATCTCTGCCCAAAGCCCCATATGTGAATAGCTTAAAGCTTTTCTGTCTGAATGTTGAGGCCCTGTTAATTGTGTGCCAGCCCTCATTCCTCTTAAATTAATGTAAGCATATTTAGGTTCTCATACTGAAAAAAGCCCAGTAAGGCATGTGCTCTTCAAGAGAAACTTCTCAATTACTATGAAGGCTCAGCTGAATCGCTAAGTTAATTATTACCCATTAATCACTAAGCCTCATGCTGAGGATTTGAGGAGTTTTTAGGTCATAAACTTACCCCAGAACACCTCCTGAGACCCCTGTCTGACAGCCTAACATTTTGGTCCTGGTCACAGCAATTCAGACAAATGAAGGGAGCATTGCAAGTGAAATATGCAGCGGAAGTCAGATGAATTTATCTCACCAGTCACCAGTAATGAGTATTGAACTGGATCCTTCCTTGGGTTAGAATTTTTGCAGTGATAAGGCAAACTACAAACAACCCCCTGACTAAACCAGGAAGAAGGCATATTGCAGTTTAACGCTAACATGCCTGGCTGCACTGAGGGTACACGTGGTTCACAGCCGTATTCTAGACAGTTTATGCAGTCTGCTGTTGGCACTTCTCTGCCTCCCTCCGTTGCTGTTCTCTGGGTTTGGGTCAGCTTGTGCCACAGTATGTCAGCCTGTGTGTTACTGATTCACAATTGAGGTTGGAGAGGACCTCTAGAGGTCCCCTAGAACAATCCTCTGCCCAGAGCTGGGATAGCTTCAGGGTTACATCAGGCTGCCCAGGGTCTTGTTTGGACACCTTCTGAAAACCTCCGAGGATGGGGATTTCACAGCCACAGTCTGCTCCACTGCTTAAACATTCTGTGGACATTTTTTTCCTTATATTTGATCAGAATTTCCCGTGTTGCATCTTATGTCCCGTGCTTCTCATCCCTTAGATGTACACCTCTGGGGACGGTCTCACTCTTTCTTCTCTATAGGCTTTAGGGGGTGGAAAACAACAACTAGATCCCTCCTTTAAAATAAAGCCCATAAAATTGCAGTATCCTATGGAGAGAGCAGTTCCCCATGGTCATTCTCAGTCTGAGGAAATAAACCAGACAGACTTGGATATGGCAGTGACAAAAGATTTTCTCTTCCCACTGTGTCTCTGAAATGAGCCTGGCTTGGAGAGAGACACTTGTGTGAACAGGTCTGTGACTTGTGGAGCAGAGAATGGCCATTGCTCACAGAGGTCCATCAAACAGCTGGAGTTTACATGTCCCCAAGTCCTGAAGAAGACAGTCTTCTCCATGCGGAGCTGTCCCAGCTGCCTCAGCCTCTCATCAAACGACAGGTGCTCCAGGCCTTTATGAAGTTCTTGGCACTTCACTGGGCTCACTCCAGTCTGTCCATGCCTCTCTTGCACGGGGGAGCCCAGAACAGGACCCAGCACTCCAGGTGGATCTCTCCAGCACTGAGCAGAAGGGGAGGATCATGTCCCTTGACCTGCGGGCAGTGCTTTTCCTAATGCAGCCCAGGCTGCTGTTGAGCGCAAAGGCACATTTCTGACTCATTCTCAACATGGTGTCCACCAGGACCCCACATCTGCCAAGCTGCTTTGCACCCAGGTGACCCCCAGCCTGTACTGGTTTGTAGGCATGTTCGTACCCAGGGGCGGGACTTGGCATTTCCCTTTGCTGAACTTCATGAGGTCGCTTTGTTGACAAGAAAAGTCGGACCAGATGTTTCTTGAGATCCTTTCAAACCACGTATTTTATGATTCTGTAAGTCCCCGTTTTCCCATTTCTCCAGCCTGTTGAGGCTCCTCTGAATGGCAGCACACTCATCTCCCAACTGCTCCTCCTGGTTTTGTATTGTCTTCAATGTGCTGAGGGTGTGCAGGGGTAGGCTGTGAGAGGACTTCCTAGGGGGATTTACGCTTAGTGAATTCTGTACATAATTTTGGTGTGATACTTCCACACACGCAAAGAAATCAATTGACCTCTCTGAAATGTCTTCTGATATTATAGTGATATTATAGGGGCCAACAGCATGTTTTTAACTGAAGTCTTTCTCTGCCCCTCAGACACTGGGCACACATCCAGCCTTTAATGAGATGATCTCAGGCAGGTGAGAGATACCTTTCATAGGGCTTATTGCTTCAGGTGACACGTGCAGAAGTTTCTTGCCATCTGTCTTAATGAAAGCCAAATGTCTGCAAATTACAGCTTTGCAATCTCGATAGTGCCAAAAATACTCTGAAGAAAGTGACACACTGCTTTGCCACAGAGCCCCTGCCTGCGTCCCTGCCTGCTTGGGTAGCCTTCAGCAACTGGTGCGAAGTTCAAGGGTTTGGCACAGCAGCATCTAAGTTTTGCAAGCAGTGGAGTTGGTCCTCGTCCCAAAGCAGAGAATTGGCTCTGCCTTTTCCAAAACAAGTTAAAACCCAAGCCCCAGTCTGGGCTGGTTGGTGCTTTGACATCTCGTCTCCGTGGCAGTGATCAGCTGGCAACCGATAAAGGACGCCCTATTCACTGACGCGGCCACGCGGGTGCTGTGGCAGGCAGCAGGGAGGCAAAATGGCTCTTGCTTTCCTCTTGGCAGCAATCCTGGGACTTCTTGTTGTCAAGGCTGTTCTGTTTCAGCTGAGAAACCCAAGCTCCCCTCCTTGCATCGGGGGCTGGATCCCTTGGTTTGGAGCTGCGTTTCAGTTCGGGAAGGCTCCTTTGGAATTCATAGAGCAAGCTAGGAGCAAGGTAATGGCTGTGGCGGTGTGCCTGCTCATGGGTGTGTGCTCCGAGTGGCTGCATGCAGGGGAAAGGTGAGGAGAAACTCCTGCATTAAGTTTGTCCCTTTCCTGTCACGCTTCCTAACATCAGGAGCATTTAGCTGGTGAAGGATTGGCTTTGCACCAGTAACATTGCTAAACCGTGGATCTGATCCAGGCGTGATCTCTGTGCTTTGATCATTCTGTTTGGACCCAGCCCCTCTGCTGTTCTGCTTTTGCTGTCTGGCTGTGTGTTAATCTTGTTTCCAGGTAATGTGGAAAGCACTGGGCCAGGAGGAACTATTTACATGCTTATAGTTAGGTGAATTTTTTTAGTGCCAGCTGGTGTCCCTCAGCATTGGAGAGAGACACAGGCATGCTTGGCAGGTGACTCTTTCCATCCTAGAACACTTACCAAAGGCGGGCGTGAAGATTTACCCACCAGACGTGCCTTTCTTTCTCTGTCTATCTGATAGAGCCTAAATGATTAATTTAGATTATGTGCTCAATTTCTAGGTAGCTGATACTAGTTGACATAAAACCCAGCTCCCATTTTCAATCAGCGACGGCAGCTGCTACTGCAGTGTGGTGAGCCTCACGTGTCCGATACTGAAAGATTGCACAGCCCACTACTTGCACAAACTAGCTAAAAATGAAACCACTGCAACATCCTGAAATTTGGGGGAAAAAAATGGACGTTTAAAATTTGCTTTCTCGTTTTGAACTATTAGATTTTATATATTTAAGTACATCTTTTCAGCCATGGTTGTGATGAACTTCTGGTGTTAAAAGAAAGCAGAAACCACGCCACATAATCCTTTAAACAAACTGGTGAAGCCTCACTTCAAAAAAACCCCAGTGATAATATTTATTTGGCTTTTCTGATAGGAGGCTGTTAGAAACCTCCTTGCATTGAAAACATATCCTGGTTTCAACCAGATTAAAGCAGCTTGCCAGACTGTCATTCCCAGTGCAATCCTTTTTGGGACAGATGTTTCACCATGATCTAACCTTGCTTTAGTTGCCTTTTTTTTTTCCCAGGAAGCTTTTAGCAAAATCTCTTAGAAGCAGCTTTTTTTTTTACAAAAAACCTGAGAGAAAAGTCCTTTTGGGGATTCATTCACACACTGAATGAGCAAAAACTTCTACAGGCTAAAGAATCTGTTGAAGTACAAATGCAAACTTAGTGGCTCTGGGACTGTTAATTTTGATGTTCATTTGCCCTTTAGGCTGCTGCTGGTGCTACAGCAGCTGCTGACACCTCTGAACACACCAGAAACACCTGAAGGACTTTATAAACCCCAGGTTTTATTGGGACAGAAACCAGAATAAAAAAAAAAAAACAAACAAAACAACCACCAACATTTCCAATGGGAGAAAACTGTGAATAAGGTAAAGCAGAAAGAGGCTTTCTTACTGTTTCTCCCCTTTACTGTGTGTTTGCAGCTGGGACCTTTACTTTGGCTAGTCCAGCAACACAGCATCCCTGTGACTTGTGGCGCCTCCCTGAGGTCCCCCTGGGCCAGGAGGGACCTTTCCATCCATCAGCCCGTGTCTGGCTGCCTGCCTGCAGCAGGACCATCACTTACACTCCTGTTCTCCCTTTCCTCTCCATAAACACCCCAGGCACCTCTCCCTCCCTTCCCACCTCCCACACTGGGATGTGCTGAGGCCAGGAAACACAAGCCTTTTCCTGCCTGCTCCCTGTTAAAGGAATAGGCACTGTAGCAGAATGCAGCCAAATAAAACAAGTGCTGCTGCCAAAGGGTCATTA